GGAGCGGGGGCCGGCGGCGGTGAGTGCGGCGGGGCGGGGCCGGACCCGGTTCTAAACCCGGGTTCCGGCTGGGGAGTCTGGTTCTCGTGGTGGTGGCGGGACCTGTCCCCAGTCTGTTGTGTCTTGCAGGAGCCAGCGGAGGAGACCTGCCCCTGCCCGTGCAGCGCCAGCTGGAGGAGGTGCGTGCCTGCCCGTGCCCTCTGACCAGGGGCTGCGGTCCTGCTCGCCAGCCCCCGGGCCTGCACGGTACCTCCATCATAGAGCAGCAGGGCTGGACCCACATTCAGGAGCATCCCTGTCCCAACCGCCCTCTCCATCGCCACTGTGTCACCTCTCGGCAAACCCAACCCTGACGCAGCTGCCAACGCCTGGCAGGCACAGCAACTGTGGCAGATTTCCTAGGAGTGGCTGAGGATGGTGCCAGTCACGCTGCAGGCCATGCTTCTCCGTTTCCCACTCTGTGCTGCTGGAGAGTGCGGTGCCGCTGGGGTGGGGCAGCCATCCTCCGCCTCCTGCTCTGGAGCTGGCTGCATTTCAGGGGTGGGGGAAGTGCTCCTTACTGGGAGATTTGCACCTGTGCCCCTGTTGGAGGAAAGGGGCTGTTGGCATGGCAGGGCACTCCACTGCTTCCTTATTTGTGAGCAAAAGGGGGAAGGGGAGAGGATGAGCCCCGGCTCTGTCTCTCAAGGTTATTTCTGCAGCAGGACTCCCAGTGGCCACCTGGACCCCTAGGAAGGCAAAATGTGAGGTTCAGTCAGAAAGCGATGCCTCTTGTTTCTCACTCAGCCAAACAAGAACATGAAACTTTCACAGAAAAGTTGTACACCATAGCCAAACATAGCTATTTTTCAGTGTAGTCTCTTTAGTGAGCTTTTTTCACTGGTGAACAAGGGCATGTATCCTGACATTGTACAAGGGTCACTTGGAATGTAATGCCTCCTGATTTTTATCTCTTACACAAGCCACAAACATGGAGTGTGCTCATTTTTTTGACTTCTTGCCTCGGGGAAGCCTGTGTCAGGACTCGGAAGAAACTGAATATTGTATGCAAAGAGCCCATCCCACCAGATGTGGTACTTCTGGATAACGATGTTTACCTGCACACCAGCTTGCACACCATAGAGGCAATCTCATTGCTTGAATGGACTGTGCTGCCCCATCCTGCCTACAGCCTGGAGGGGTGAAGGATGGACTGTGAGGGCAATGTTTTGAGGATGACAGTGAAGTGATGGAGGCTGTGCAACAGTGGCTGTGCAACAAAGGCAAAAAAAACTTTCACAATGTTGGGATACATGCCCTTGTTCACCCGGA